AAAGGTTGTCCAAAGAAGCTTCTCTTCTTGCAGCCTCCACCTCACTCCTGACAACGCTCCCACTTTTCCACCAGAGAAATAACACAAACTGTCTTCACAGTGCAACTGCACATGCCAAGAGTGTCTGGGTTAGAAATGCAGCACAACAGCTTCCATTTTGCACGGAGGAGAGTGCACAAAGGAGACAGAAAGCAGAGCACATGGCTGCATTTGTCTAGAGCACGACCAGAAATATGGGTTTACAGAAGGAAGATGCCATTTAGAACGCTGGTCAAGCCCTTTGGCCATTACCTCTGTGTTAATACTGTAATACATTTAATGCTTTGATATATTGGCATGTGAATCACCTAAAAAATTATGCACACAGAAGAATTTTTAAATAGTCACTCAACCTCACAGCTTTGTTAATTATTTTAGAGCTAATTTCTGCCAGCTTCGAGCACTTACTGATGTTAAATTCCATTACTGGATTCAAATTTGAACTAATGTATGTCATTAAATTTGAATGGTAGTAGATAGTAGAGGAAAGATGATGTTATTTAAAAGGTAATTTTCTTAAGCTGTATAAAAATGCAGTCCATCACTGGGAGTTTGCTATGTTTCCCCAAAACTCCTAAAGTTAAACTAACATTATAGAAAGCTTTAAGTATATGGAAATGGATAAGAATAAAGCAAATATTTTACTTTAACCAGGATTGTCAAAAATGGGAAAAATTGCTATCTTTGTTCCATTAAATATGATTATAATACAATTTTCTATGCATCACACCTGTAACGCAGCTTGAGCACCAGCTTTAATATTTTTGTCTTCATCTTCTAACACGCATCCCCTGTTAACAGCACTGGTGAAGGAGTAGGTTCTCCCCCAGCTCGATGATCGTTTATGGCCTGAATGGTCCGAGGCAAGCTGTCAAAAACACAACCCAGGTAGTTACAAAGCAAAAAGAGAACTGCTAGGTCTCAAGTCCATTTTAGGAAGGCATTCTGGCTATTATTTTTACATCTGTGAACAAGTAAACCATACATGAAGTTTAAAGGTTCATAAAAAATTTAAGGGCTATCTTGCTTGAAGATATCATATATTCCATAAAATCATTCATTGTTTTAATGCTTGATCCTTAAGAAAAAAAACTGTAAACCCTCTACGAAAATCATCCAGTGGAAATACTCTAATTTTCACTACAGCTTTACAATTCAACCTTCTTTCTTTACCTAACTTCCCTTCATATAGTTTTACACCAGAGCCAAAGTCAACATTTATCTTATCTTTAAAAGATACGAAAAAAACAATGCTATAAAAATCACATATATAGACTTCAGTTTCCAAAGGTTAATGTGTCTGGATGCAAAGTTTTGATTCCCATATATATGATTTTGTAAAGAGCTCCAAATTCTTGAATACTGCTCTTAAAAATAAATGGTCTTACACATATTGAGGCAACAAAGCATAAAGGTTTAGCATTGCAGACCATAGTCAATTCTTGCTTTTGTATTTACATAGATAGGAAATAATTAAGAATTTTTTTTTTCAAAACACCAGTTGGAAACCCTTTCTGTTGTCAGTAAAAAGAGATGAAGACTAAATTTCTTCTTGCATCTCTGGACCTTAAATATAGGACTTCTTAACCTTGTTTTTCCAAACACTTGATAAATCGCTTTCCATTCACAACTAAAGAAACAGTTAAAAGATAAATATATACCACATGTAAAGTGAATAGCATAGGAGCACTGATACTATACATGTTTGCTATCCGTTTGCACTGATGAATCCTCCAAGTTGGAAACATCATCTTGGCCATTTTCCTTTTTGTCTGGCTCCTCCATGAACACAGGCTTCTCTTGCAATATCCATTTGCGATAAACTTTGATCACTTTTCTTGTTGTAGACATATCAGAAGAAGGCAACAAAAAAGCCTAAATTCAAAAGTTATCTCAAATCAATATATACAGGAGACAGATATGTGTGCATACTTATGTATATATAACATTAGTGAAGGAGTATATACATGGGTGTGTATAGATGGCATATATACTTATGTGAACATACACCCTCATTAAATAAGACAGCCCACAGTAAGAAAATGTAATTTTTACCTTTACATCGACACTAGAACAAACTGCAGTTAATCAATAACCTATTTATACACTGCAGTATGGCACATTTTTCCAATTAAAAAAATAGATAATTGCAACTCTGAAGGGCTTGTTCTCAGTGATTAACAGGAGAAAACCCAATACCATTTCATTTTGGAGTATTCATTCACAGCATAGTTTTCTATAAACAATTTAAGTGCAGAAACGGAGGGAATGTTGCTCAGGTTGGGGGAAACCCTTTCTTTAGGCAGCACATTTCCTTCCTCTAGTCAATATGAAATGCAACAGCTAAATGGAATTTTTCCACTAACAGTCTACAGAGGTTGAAGGGGATGCCAAAAGCCAAGTTCATAAATGCAACAGCAATTGCTGTACATGAAACTCCTGAAAGTGTCCTCAAAACCATTCTCAGATGATTAAGTAGGCAGAAGCTGGAAGAGTCAAGACATCACAAGTCCAGGCAACAGTAAAATTTTACTTGGAAAAAAAGACACCAAAAGAGGGCAGCATACCACAACATTTCTTATGGACATGACTGTAAGAGGACTGTATCACTGTGAAAAACAATAGTGGCACACAAGTCCCTCAAAACAAAGCATGTGTGACACTATGTGTGTCACTTGGCTGTGACCAGTCTCCTCGACGTATTTGTGTGGGCTGGGAGGCTGCAACTCCAAATGACTCCTCTCTTAGTACCAGACCAAAAAAAAGTCACAATTAAAACGATCCATCCGTCAATAAATTATTCTTGATAAAAGATTTTCATGTTTATTATTGATAAAAATGTACAGGTATTTTAATTGAACTGAGGTTTCTTTTTTATTTAGAGAATGAGCACAAAGCTGCCATCATTTTCTGTATTTGCAATTTACCTTACATTGAAATGCTGTCCCAAAAAATGCAGAATAATCTTAGTTTTTAACTACAACTAAAATGGTAAACATACCAGCATTAGTAACATAAAACATACTTGAAATCCATGCACTTTCATTAACATGGATTACCAAACTCAGTATAATCAGCTTTGTAATAGAAGAAATACATAATTGTTTGCCTCCATTTGGGAAAAAACAACCACCTAGGAAAGACTCCAAAAGAAAACAGTGCAGATGTCCCTACCATCAAGTCTGACAAATTTATCTGCCTGAAGAGACTTCACAGGTTTCTCTCTCATAGCCATACCTTTCCCTTTTTAAAAAAAAATAAATAAATAAGAGGATATAGTAGGCAACTGAACCCCTAGATGCTCCAGCTGGCTTACCTGGCGAAAGACTTCGTTAACAAAGTTGACGTAGCCGCGGGTGGAGAGGAGGATTCTCTGCACCATCTCGTAGACGGCGCCGTGCTGCTCCTCGATGCTGCAGAGGCTGCTGTTGCTGAGCCTGCGGTCAGACAAGGTGCTGCTGTTGGAGTGGTTCCTCTCCGGCTCGCTCGCGTAGGCCGTGCTGCCTTCCAGCTCCGGGTTTTTGTCCTGGTTTACAACTCCCACAGTCTACAAGGGGGAAAAGGCACGCCTAATTAAATTGCTATAATATTATAAATAAACCACAGCAAAAATCTGAACTGTATATTCAGAACTTAGTGTTGGCTTTGACACAATAAAAATGGCACCAGTCACTGAATGTAACTATCCATCTAGCAGTTGATCAAAGATGAGGTTTGACCTCTTATGTATTTCAGACATTTCTTCTCTCCCCAGAACAGCTGACTTGTCACACCCGGGAGAAAAATACATAAGTCTGAAAAACCGGACCAGACAACTGCTAAAGGCATCTGAATCACAAAGCCATCATCCTTGCAGAGGGGCTCAGGTAGGGAGGATTTACCCTCCCAGAGGGGGAGGCGCAGGGTTCAGCTGTGCTCCTGAAAGACCAACTACCTTGGGTGAAATTCAAAACCGTTCAGTGAACATGTGCCAGCAGATAACACAGCTTCAGCTGATAACTTCTGACAGCTTCAGTTTGCAGGGCAACAGCATCTTCACGTATTTATGAACAACAGCGACTGAGATATTTTAATTGGTGTCAGCTGTCTTGAAAAAGAGTGAAAAGAAGGTCTTGCCAATCTACGCCTGTTGGAATGGTTTTACAACTACCTCTTGAAAGACAAAGTTCTACAAAAAAAGGGAACAGTAAAATCTACAAAAATCACCTTCAAAAGGCACAATGCTATACTCAACATTAAGGCTTAGAACACCTACACTAAAGAATTCAAAAACAATTAACATTAAAATATATAGGTCTACCATACGCTTTTACAGTGAATCCAGTTTTGATAGACACCCAATTCAAAAGCAAACCATCAAGCTAACATTGACCAAACTTTTTAATAGGAAGCTAGAGACACTTAAAGAAAACAATGTTTTGTTCTAAAACTCATTGTGAAATCCCTAATCCTGAGAATGTCTACCAGCAATTTTGATAGTAAGACATTTTTATAATATCTCCCTGTAAGCAACTATGATCAAGAGAAAAAAAAGCATTCTACATTACTGAGAAACTGTCCAACTCTCCACAAGTTAGACAGTTTATAGATTAAGTTTTGAAAGACTAAAGCAAATGTTGAGGAAGCTATATATATATATGTGTATGTTTATTTTGAATGGGGTATCAGGCAAACAGCTGTTGGGAAAAAAATCACTAGTACATGACTAACAGATTCCCTTGAAGATTTTCTCTTTCAAAGAAGAAATTCAATTTAAAACACATCATTTATTCACTTAGAGGCAGCATTCCCTTCTTGCTTAAGTTGTCAGTGTACTGTAATTGTGTGCAAGTTTTGTAGAAATATAATGAGAAAACAGAAGCAAACTTTAAAGCACACCTGAATAATTTTAGGGAGCATTTCTCCTCCATTTTTTGTATGCTGGACAGCAGTTACATATTTCTTTTCAAGAAAGAAGGTAACAAGCCACTTAATAAATACAACTCGAGCAGCCATATAGGGAATTTTTGTGCTGTAGACACTTTCATTGTTTCGTGTTGCAGTAACATACACTGGTCTTGGTCTTATATCAGGAAGATCTGGAGAGAGGAAAAGAAAAAAAGCTAATCTTAACAAAACTGTAACTTCTTCCAGATTCTGGAATTTTGAGGTGCAGTACTTAAGTCAGAGAAGGGAAGAGAGGGATGATGAAGAAGAGTCTGCAGAATACTAGGTGAATCTTAGCCCCAGTGCTCCTGTTCAATCACCAGCTCTTTAATATTGTTCACTAGAACACTGAGGAAAAGAGTCAAAAACAACCATTGCTGCAATAATGTCTTTTATCCTACAGTTCTACTTTCTAGATGCTCCTAACAGTACAGTCCCTGTTTCCACTTTCCTTCAGTCACACATCTATCACCTTTCATTTCCTCCATGACACTCACTTTTCTCTTCCTTGCTTCAAAAAAGGGCATGCTATTTATCAATACTATTATTGGCTAAAATAATGCTATTTATGTTATCTACTCCTTCACATTCAGGCATTTTACTAATTATTTCTAAAAAACCTCTAAGAGCATATTCTGTCCTCATTACCTATCTCAGTAACCTATTCCTTGTTCAATCAATATAAATGCCATGCCAGAGGAACCACTCATGGGCACGGAGCATGGGGACAACCCAAGGACAAGGGAGCAGCTTCATGACATATCACAGGAAAAACTGCAGTTGATCTCGACAGATTCAGCAGTACTGTAGCAATAGGCCACTAGCCAAGAGAGATACTACTAAAAATAGTCACCATTATTACTTCTGCTATAAAGATAAAATTCTCTACTTACCAAGAACAGGTTTGTACATGTTGGTTAGCTTTGTAAAAGATGGAAACAAGTGAGGAAGATAGTACTTTCTAAACAAGGTAAAGAGAAACTTAAAACCAGTATCTTGGTTTTCCTTATTCTTCCACTCCAAGCTTGCCGCCTTTTCCATGAGGGCAAAGAAACAGAAAAACAAAAACAAAACACACCTTAATGTATTATACTGAGAATCATTCCATGGTGATGACAATTTTTTTTTAATTAAGAGAAAAAATACTTATTGCTTTAACAAAAAATACAAAATCATATAGAAACATATAAACTTTACACACACTGACTTGGGCTACTTAGGATTTTGTTTTTCTGCTCTGGTCTTTACACACCCTTTGTTCAAGTCTTCTCAAAAACCATGGAGCTGGCAATTTCCTGGTTTTGCAAAATATACATGTAGAGCTTGCTGAACTCTTCCAAGTCCTAGACATCAATTATTAATTTAAATACACATATACTATTAATGTTGTAGAATGGTTACTCTGATTCTTATTGTCCTATCTTTTGCATTACTGCTAAGAAATTAGGAATGCATGAGGAAAACTCTGCTCAACACAACCATACTTAATTCCTGTATACCTGCAACAATTGCCTATATGATGCAAAGTTACAGACAGACTAAATTCAGTAGTTACCTGCACAATTTAAATTCTTGGAATGTTTTCTTTTCTGAGTATAAAAAGCTATTTTTTGCATCTGAAAACTTTGAGCTCTCCAGAAACCAAAGGCTTTTCTTACTCAAAACCACAGTTTACCACAACCTTCATTCTCACTTTTCTATCTTATTATCAACAGCTAAGAGACAAGTCTACTTCCTTAGCTTACTATGAATTTCATTACAGTCCTAGGGCTAATTGAACTGGGAATTTAGTGATCACCATTTTACTGCTGGGAAAAAGTTCAATTACACCCTTCTCCACAATTAACATCTGTGTAAAAAGTAAAACTAAACTTCAGTTTTGTCAACTTCACAGTAACAGTTGCTGAATCATAAATCAGTTGCTAGCTACTATAGGAACTGTTTGCTTTGTGGGAGATCTTGATGGATTCAAGCTTAAAAAGTCTGGATAATATTCAAGTTTTTCACATTTGTGATAAGAAATGTAATTTTCAACAAAAATGTTGCAATAAAATATCTTTGCAATGATTCCCTTTTTAGGAACAATAACAAAATGCAGAAGACACCTTATTGGAGAATGAGTATAGAACAAAGGTTTCTAACACAGGTGCATTCCTCCAAACGTGAATAGTTAAAAATATATCTCCTTCGCACCTGAATTACCATATATTTTAACAGTAACTGAAGGAAAAAACAGGTTTGGTCTTCAGCAATTTTTTCTCCAGAGACAGCTGGCAAAAGCGGGGTTATCTCTTCAGGATAGATCTTAGCTAAAACACGAAGAAAAAGACGTCTTAGAGAAAACTTAAAATAGTGAAAAATAAAAAAATTAATTTGCAAATTAATCTTATTAAATTTATCTATATAAATTTACATTATCAATATATTTAAATATATTTAATCTTAATTAAAACCAGCTGTGTAGTTCCTAGCATGCAGCATATGGCATATATATTTATATACAGATATATAATTATAATATACGTAACTATATAATATTCCACATACAGCATCAGGCATTATATATACACACAGACACACTCAATCCATGACAGTAATGTTTTAAAAACAGAGAAGGATAATAAAAATTTGTAAAAGGACTGAGTAACTACTCTAAATCAACAGCTCTGAGAAATAAATATCCTATCAATTACACAACTAAAAATAATCAACAAAATTCTAAAAACCCAGATGATAAACTGAACACAGCTGAAATATGTGTCTTCATATAACACTTGGAGGAGCAACACATTCACTGGCCACAGGAACTTCAAAAGCTTTCTTGAATGAAGACAGGGATGCAGCATTTCACAGATAATGCAGACCAGGCCAGCGGTGAACTAAGTAGTAAGTCCTCTGAAGACTTTTATGACAGTCTGAAAATTGATTTATTGTCTTCTGAATCCAGATAGAAGTCCAAAGCTTTTTCCATATAGTGATATGCAGAGCTTTGTGTGTGCTACAAATGTCTCATGCTTCATGAGTGTTTATTTAGACTGAGCAGGTCTGAGTACACTGCTCAGAAATGCCTTCACTGACCCTTATTTGTATTTCTACCATTGTCCATAGATTTCAATTCCTGTTGCTGGTATTTTTTGAAACTGTGGCCTGCAAGTCCTTTCTACAGAAGCCTTAATTTTTAAACTTGATATTGTGCAATGTGGGTGGGCAAACCCTCACTCCTCTGGTATAATATAACCCATAGTCTCTTGCACATCTTTTTAGGTTCATCCTCCCCCATTTGCGATTTACATTTCAAATGCCGTGAATAATACCACATCCCCAAGGTGAAATTTAGATTATTTTCCTAGCATTTCAGAATATTTCTCTCTCAAGGCATAATCTGATACTTCTTCTGGTTTACTTACCATCTAGTGAATTAGAAGGAGGACTAATGACGTTATCTAGTGTACAGGGACCCCTTGAGGACATAACTGGTGGAAAACCAGGCACAAGGCAGGCAAATATTAATATTTGCTCTTCCTCACAGTTAGTCTGAAGTGCTTGAAGCCAAAGAAGAAACAGTCTGATTCCTTCACATCTTATCTACAGGGAAATGATTTTATAGAAAACGATAGTAAAACAAACTGAAAGTAGCACAAATAATTAAGACAAGGCAGGGTAAGTAGTTTCATCCCAACGACGTACTACTGACTCTTTCAGCTACACTATATGAATAATCCAAACACATGAGTAATTTTCCCAAATATCTTTAGAAAGATTTTTTTTTTTAACAGCAAAGTGCCCAAAGAACCATCCAGTGTTAAAAAAACACAAAGTTTATGAAGAGGTGATTAAGTAAAATTATATCCAAGGTGTAGCAATCTGAAATATATTGATACTGAAATCTGGAAAGTAATATGCTTCTTAGAAATTCAAGTTAAGAGAAATACCTTGATAGAGTTTCCAGTGTGCAAAAGTTTCTTCAAAGTAGACCCTGAATTAGGAAAAGGAAACAGGCAAGTATGACATTTTAAAAAAATACACTTTTACCCAGAATGCAAAAAGCAAAGCCCCAAAGAATTTTATTACCATAATCACTAGCATTACCTAGTGACTAGTATTGAAATTCCAAGTATAGGTATTTTGCTTTTAGATGGTTATCCATTTTCCCATGTTAGTATTATTATTAAAAATAAATAAAGTTGCTAGGAGATGTTTTGGCTTACCAGATTCAGATAAATGCTTTAATCAACTGTATTTTTAAAAATTAGATAAGTGCAGTACTTGACACAAAGTAGCAAGTGAATTACAATACTTCAAATTTGTATGGATAATGCACTCAAAATATGCTAAACATTGCTCATGATAAGGAGAAGTGCTAGATGTCTATACTGTATTCATGTGTATGAACAACTAATAACTATTAAACATATAAAATAAACTGATTCTGGTTTTAAAAAAATACAAAAGTCAACTGCATATATTTCACATCTCACCTCAGAGATCACACATTGGATAGTTCAGTTTGAAAAGCTACAGGATTTTTTAAGCGAGAAAAATAACAATTTAGCACTCAGATGTTGCTGCTTCTGGTTCTGAGAATTATGTGCATTACTTAAAAGTGACACTTTTCTCAGGATCTCATCTTTTCACAGTAACAAATGGAACTTATTAACATATTTGCAAATATATCAACACATCTGAACATTAAACACAGAGCAAATCCCGAAGTACATTTGTAAACAATTGCATCACCAAATGTATCTACAGAATACAGCTATAATTTATCCAAATAAGACTGTTAAAAAGAAACAGAAATATAAAGAACACTTCAGCTACAAAGCAATTGACTAAAATCAATTTGTGCTGGTCTAGCCTAGAGGAAACTGTAGTAAAGGGGTCCTCCTTTTATTTTTGTCAGTGCTAACTAGAAATTTGACAACAGCCCTTTTCCTTGACCTTTAACTTCTACTCATTATCACTTATGCCATAGCAAATTCCTTGTTCTGATGAAAAATATGGCAGCTGACAAGTCAGAACTGGAAACCAAAACAAAGGGAAAAAAGCAGAGGGGGAGCAAAAAAGAAAAGGAAGATAAAGGATGCATTTGGGGGGCAGGGGGTGATCTTTTTCCAGTCTGCTATAACAATAACAAAACATTCTATGCAGTTCCGCAAGATAAAACCTCAAGAGCCACCTAATAGAGGAGATTTCCACAGGACAGACAAGGTTTGAAGTCAATCCAGAAGCTATTACTAGGCCAGCAGCAGGGTTTCCAGCCAGGAATTCGCACGGACATTCGTTATGTGACCTCGGGTGAGACCCGTGCACATAACTCGAATTTGGCAGAGCCGAGGAAAGGTTCTGCAGCCGCCCTCAATCTTTACTTCTGCCACTGGTCTAGGTGGATACACAGGGAGGCCGACGTAGGAAGAGGTTTGGTGTTTTACAACCCTCCTCTTCTGCAAAGCTACTCAAATATGATAGATGAAAGGGAAGAGGACCTGCCTGAACTCATGAATATAACCATTTCAGGAGTGTTTCTAGATAAAAAGAAAGAAGCTGGCAACTACACAACAAAAAAGGAACACAGAACTATTTTAGAAGGTAAAATTGTTTTTAACATGTTTCAAAAATTTTAGCTGCAAGTCTAGTACTTCAGTAGTATTCATATATAGACCACAATAAGCAATTGTCATTAAAACAAATTCTGTTCTATTAAAATCAAAGGACAATACCCAGAATTGTAAACATAGGCAGCGTTGAAGTTTGTATTTTAAATGGTGCTACTAACCTGCTTTATTTGTACACAGAGACTACCAACCAGGATTTACCACTGCACAGAGAAATTTTATTTGAAATTCAATAAAATCAAGTTCTGCAAAATGACGACGTGAAAGAATTTTGTTTTTACTATACACACATACTTTGAAAAAAATCCTTCTTACCTATACTGCGAAAATGCCATCGATAAAAAATCCTCTCAGGTAGCAGCTGCAAAATTTTCTGCAGAAATAAAACTGCACAGTCAAAATCTTCATATTAAACTGGCTCACTCAGAGGATACAAAGTAATACACATCACAAGGAGTGAGATATATCAAGAATAGTAGAATACAAATACCATAACAAGGATTTTTGCCTATTACTTCGTTCTCTTACTATGGGGAAAGATACCACAACACAGTCATAAAATCTTCCTTTTCGCAGTGTCTGGGATGGCCCTACTATTTGATTAACTGATTTCTGATGAAGCTAAAGATAAACCCTCTTTCCAAGAAGCTCACTTTGAGTTGTGTTTTTCTGAAGTATTTGGTGGAGACTATATTAGATCCATACAGCGCAGGTTTTGAGTTTCAGTGGCTTAGGTTTCTTTCCACCAGCATCACCGCAATAAATTAAACACTTCTGTCATTTCTCAAGCCCTCCTCTTTTTCAGTACCCCAAAAAGGATGAAAACGTATATGCTCCATGTACAGGGATGCACATCTGCATTTGGAAAAACTGCAGTCACCTCTATAACAGCAAGAAACCTTAAAGTGAAGTCATTATGTATTAGATATGTTAGAATCACAACAACTACTGAAGATATTTCAAAGCTCTATGAAGTACTAGAACAAATATTAATAATCTAAGTTTGGAGTGCACATTTGCTCTCACAATGCAAAAAGTAGTCATCAGGCTTAAATATCTGCACTATTAAATGGCAATTTGTGGATGTTAGAAGTAAATTAAAAGTTAAGGCCACAATACCTTTTTAATTAGTATTTTTCATATGTGCACATTAGAGTCCCAAAAGCAAGATAGCGCTGTAGTGTGACGTATTATAAAGTCATGGACAAGCGCTCGTTGTTGTCCTTCCAACTAAGTAGTTCCAAGAACACATCTGTTCACTCTCTCAACCTAGGGCAATTAAGAAAAATTGCTATTCCTAGAAAACAAATCATAGTTCCTTCCACTCCAGTGTCGATTTTTAGCAATACTGCTGTGAATTCCAAACTGGCTATTGACATCTTGTTTGTACTTTTGCAGTACACTAACCTGAAATATTTTAAGAAACCCCACAGTGCAAAATAATATTGCTTTTTCAGAAAAACACATAGATCTATTTAATGCTTAGTGCTTTGCTGCATCTGTATGGTAATCCATTATAGCACACTTGAAATAGAAATTAGGTATTACTACTGATCAACACATCAGGGTATCTGTCAGTTCTTTTAACTGATTATCCATAGTTCTTTTTCTTCTGGACTTACTGCATGACTAGGAATAATGTTAAGTTTAAATCTTAGTTTACACAGGATGCAGCTTTTTGAAAGATATATTTCTCTATTTTATCAAAGTAAAACAAAAAAGGCTAGGGCTTGCATTTCAACAGATTCACTCTGACTTAACTAATACAGCAATTCCTTGTAGAGAGGCTTTTATCCTCACCAGCTCTGTAGAATCAGATTGCGATCAGTAACCTGGCACCTATTATGTTACACACTGCACCATTTTAGAACATGAAGAAAAAACAGTGTAAGATTTGATAACTACCTTAAGACACCTAGATCCAGAATGTTTTCCAGGCCAATTGCACAAAGACCAAACGAGAAGCCCTGTTCTAGCTGCCATCGTTAGGAAAGAGCTGTCCTGCAACACTGTACAGGGTGCCTTGGTTAACAACAAAAAAAGAACAAGTTCTCGCTGGGTGCCTGTGAGTGCACAGGTCAGTAAGTTCTCAATACTGAATCCTGCCAGGGGGATGGATTCCCAGAAAAAAATAAAATAGTGATTTTGATGCAAGTGTGCATGACAAGAAGTGCCTACTAGTCAGCTGGCTGGTGAATCTGCCATATGGAGAGGAGTAGCCCTCCTGTACCCTGGTGCCCAAGCACTGCCTCTCCAGAAACATCCACACAAGAGCTTCAGCAGGTTCATTGAGTTGATTAGAAATCTTCCTGCTGCTCCTCACTGATTTAGGCAAAGCCAAGACTCAACCACATTAGTATGCCCGCAGCACTGCGATCTAAATAAACGGCATTTATTTGCTGCATCAATAAAATATTTATAGTTGTTTGTCAAGGGAAAAAAAGTCTGCTCAAAACATGCAAACTACTCATTCTTCCCCCAGAAGGCATAACAAACAGCATGATTTCTGAAGCAGAATATAAGCAACACGCAGTTAGAACTTACAACAGAATATTACAAGGGGAACAGTTATTTTGAGAGGGGTAACATGAACCAACCTGAATTATGGCAGAATAAACTATAGATGATTCAGAAATACATTTTCTGCGGTGTTAGAAAGAAAAACCTTTTAAGCAGTTTTATTGTTATAAACAAATAAACTCCTTTTATTCTATCAGACAACCTAGTCTGTGGACATCACCTGTGCTACATGCTCCAGGTGTCCCTGCTTATGCAGGGAGTTGGACTAGATGATCTCTAGAGGTCCCTTCCAACCTCAACCATTCTGTGATTCCAATATGCACTGGACACCAAGTGAAAAGCTGCAACAGAGCCCCAAGCCCGTGTTGGGAGCAGAAACTGGGAATGGCAGCAGGATCTCAAGTTTAAGATCACCTTACACAAAGGGAAATAAAGGCGTCCATTACGTAGACGTAGACACATACACACAGCAAATTTAGAAGTATGTTAAATAAAATGATGCCCTCAGAAAAGGCAAAACTATGACCTGTGGCCAAAAAAAAAAAAAAAATTTGAATTTTCCTGGTAAAGAAATTTGTAAATAGCTTTTACATTGTCCAGCATCATTATGCAGTTTCATTTTGCAGAATTTAATTTTGCTCACTTATTTAAAGCAAAATGGAGCAAAGTAATAGGCAGCAACATCTCAAGACAAGCAAACCTACCTAAGAAAACTCTACAAATCAAAACTAACAACATTATTAGAATGCAGTAGCAAATTTATAGGCTTCAGATATGAGAAGCACATCCTTTGCACAACATAACAGCAGGAAGCACAGCTCTCAGGCCTTCCCCAAAGTTACCAATAAGAAACCACAGAAAGTTTCCCTGATGCAAATTTTTTTGCAACGCAAGTGAAATTTATTATTAAAGAAAACCACAATTGGCCTTAAGACTTCTGCTTTAAGCTACTTCAACTTCGCTAATTCATGAAGTGGTATTTATAAAGAGGAACTATAACGCAGCAGAGGAGTTCTATATATTTAAAATAGCCACAGCACAGTGGTTTAGTCTATGGTAAACCAAAGTTTTGTAATTTTGACTAATACTTGTGTGCATTATTATGCAGCACTGAAAGAAGGGTACAACTCTGCAGGTGCCAAAAGGTAAAAATGAAGTTTTTCGTGTTGTTTTGGCCTTTTAGGTAAAACTGGGAAAGATAACACTGGGACTGTGTCATTTTATGCATCGTTTCATGATGCATTTCATGCATCATTCATTTCATGCACCTATTTGGGAAGAGGCAAGGCCATATCAACATTTAGAATATAAAACTGGATCTAAGATCTCCCTATATATCCCTATATAAGATCTCCCTAACTATAAAAAACACTTTTCCAATGAGTTTCCAATGAACTCATGTTAATGTCTCATATTAGTCTCTTGATTAAGAATCCTTTGTTGATTACAATGTTTGGTACTATCAGTGGCTAGACAAAGCAATTGATATGAAAGCTAAGATTTCAATAAAGAGGAGAAGCAGCACCGCGAAGCCCACGTAGCTTTCAGAGCACTTGTGGAAGAGTAGGTTACTCATTTAAAATACACACTAGGTGTCACTCAAGAACAGCAGCCAAAAAAACCTAACTACACTAGGAAAGGCAGTCAGGTACACATTCTTTTCATAAATATTTTTATTGATTCTTAAACAGTTAACCCCAGCACCTGGATCCAGGATGTGTTAATCCAAAGTAATTACCTACTTAGCTAATTAGAAGAAAACTCTAGGAAACCTCTGTTTCATGCTGACAGCCAATTAAATATGCCAAGCTTAACAATCAAGCAGGTTTGTTTCCTGTGGCTTACAACATGAATGTTTAATTACTTGGCATTTTCTTTTTCTCCTGTCCTATGCTCAAACCCAATTATTGCCTGTCAGTGCTTGAGGGGCCCTCTAAAGTGTCTTCCTCCTACAGTGCATTAAGTTATCAAGTGCTAGGAGATATAAACAGATTGTCAACTTAGTTCCAGTAGATAAACACTGTGGCAGAGGGTACAGCTTGAGACAGAGCAGCGCTCTCCCATGGCCCTGAAGGGCCAGTGCAGACTGCTCCTCCCTTTGCTGCTCCCCTGCGGAACTCACTGCAGGGCAGTTGGACACAGCACGGGGCCAGCTGATCACTGCCATCTGCAAGGCCACGAATCCAAAGCTGGCTGGCTCTAGCAGACCTGGTGTTAATATATAAGGTGTTCACTTGAGCAATAAAGGGATCCCGATTCGATTAACTGCAAATTAGGGTCCATGTAAACATTTGCCACAAAACACCATGCAGCAGATTGTTCCCCATCTCACACAAATGTCTTAATTGATTAGTTCTTCCTCAAAGCTTACCATGTAACCTCAAAGGGTATATAACAACTCTTCAAGGCATGTATTTCAGTAGGTTATATCTGTGTCCTCTAATTTCTGTGAATGTTCAAAATTCTTGGTACTCTAAGAACCTTAACATGTTACCTCCATAAAGCATTTAAATTCAAGTTTAAACATCTTCATTCAATAGAACACAAGAGCATTGGTATATCCAGGTTTTCCAGTGACACTTAAGCACACTACTAAGCAGGTTATTGAATTGGGACTGAAATGACAGTATTCATACATAACGATGCATTTATTTATTTCACACATCATATTCTCCTGATGTTACAACAGTAAACAAAGTTATTACCCACAAATTGGATAAACTTTGGCTGTTTTTGAATGGAAAACAGTTAAAGAAATTTAATTTAAGACCCCAAACTAAGTTACTATCAAAATGCACTGTGATGGTCAGCAGATAAGGTGATTCCTCCTCCATGTGGTCGTGTAGCAGGGTAGAGAAGCAGCACTT